CTGTAGACTTACAGCTATAAGTAAGATTACTGTTATAATTTCTTCTGGTCCCTAAGGGGAGAGAAAAAAAACTTCTCAAAACTTTTAAGGTCATTAAAAACCCCCACCTTTAAATTGGAGGTAGTTTCAGTTTACTTTCATATTTCAAAATCAAATCTTAGCTTCAGCCTCACATCAAAGCACAAATGTCAGTTGCTTTGTTTCTACATCTTCCATGAAAGAAGTTCCAGTTTATACATGAGCTGAATGCCAAGTAAATAGATTTTCCGGGGGAACAAAGGCAGCTTTTTTTGTTTGTTTTAAACATATGTAAATAGAGTCCCAGGAGCTGAGCTGTCTGTCACTTCAACCAGGTTTACACTCATGTCACTCCAGCTGGTTATTTCTGACCGACCTTAGGTCAGAACTGCAGAAGTTTCCCTCCCAGCTCCTCCACAGATTCATCCCAGGCAGCTACTCAAGCCCTCTCCCTCCGGCCTTACACTTCAGCAAGGGGTAAACAGTTTAATACGTATTTCTTTCTTTGCTAGTTTCTTATGCCGTCCTTTCTTGGTTTTAAGCTCTAGCTGCAGAATCACAGAAATACTTTGCTCCTCTGTCACAGTCACTGAGACGGTTCTGAAAAGCTTTCAGCAGATAAAATCACTATCTGACAATATATGGCCACTATCAATAAACAGTCAGGGCTGTGTCCCTACATACCCGCGGTATATTAAAGACTGATGGTACCTACTGGTTCACGGTCAAGATTATAGGGGGCAGGGAAGAAACAGGAAGGGATGTGTAAGAAAAATCACTTTTTTATTTTTTTTAAACAGGAGGGCACCATCACTCTTGAGGTTTCGTTGCAGTGCCAGGCATTTAAACAGCAGAGAGTTATCTTCCACAAAGCCAGGAGATGACAAAGGGGAGTACAATCCCTTCACGCGCTCATATTCACTCTCTCTTTTTTTTTTTTTTTTAATTTAAAATAGCAGATCAATGCAAAATTCAGATCACTTAATGCTTGTCATTTCCAAATGGCTTGCGTTATCTCTTAATCTTCAGCATTCTTGTTTTGGGTGTAATACTGGGCAGCACTGAGGCATGCATCACTTTATAGGCTATGCAAAGCCGCAATTAAGGAAAATCCTCAAGTACATGAGAAACCGCAGTTTTGATTGGCTGAGTTACCATAACTTACCGATAATTCAAATCACTCGAGTATTATTCAGTGTTTTCTTCTCCCTGCTTTTTTCATCTCTTGACAAGTTTACAAAGAAAAGAATGGAGCAGAGCTTAGCTGCATTACATCCAATATGCTGCCTACACAAACGCCAGAGAAGCTAAATGAACCCCAGAACATATGGCACTCTGCTGACAGAGCTCAGAAACTGGTTCTGCATGAGCAACAAGGAACATCTTGAAACGCACGAGACATATGTGTTTTAGGAAGAAGATTGAAGTGTTTCATAATAAAACAGGACAAAGTGAAATACAAGTGCTGTATAAAATTTTAATTAAAAACTGGTTTTACCCCTCAACGTGAATATACAATATGTTTCCCAGATGGATTTCATATTTAAGTATTATCCAAACCAACAACGTAAATGAGACAAATAAAGCCTTCAAAAATGGCACAGAGGCTAAAATGTATGTAAACACTAGATGACTGTGGTGAAAACAAGGCAGGCAGGGAAAGCAACCTCTCAGCAAATGTTTACTACTGGAGTACTGAATGAAACAGTTCCTATAACTATAGTCTTAGTAACAGCACAATTAGCTAAACATTCAAAAATTCAAGTCTGTGTAACAATACCAACAGGAGTGTTAGAATTCACCACTGTTCAGTGATGTAAGTGGTGCTTCTGACACTTACGAAGTTCACAGGTTGTTTTACACACTGGTAATTCATGGCATGCCACACATCAAACCACTTTCAAAGTCTATCCCTGCTTTCAGCCTCCCACCCCCCCTCTGTGTGAAGCTCTGTTTTATAGAATCAGCCCTACAGGGCTACGCAAACACCTGAACGCAGAACAAAATTTTTGTGCTGTATCCTCAGGATCAGTAAATCCTTACGAACAAAGAGGGATGTTGTTTTGCAACAGACACCTCCTTTCCCTGAAGAGGTGAGAAGGCGGCTCAGATCACCACTTCTCAGACTGCAGAGAGTTCTTGGCTAGGTCAGAAGCAATCACCCAGAAGTAAATGGAAAGACACATGAAGAAAAAGCACAATCTCCACATTGATCAAGCAAAGAGAAAGATTACAGTTCCTTTATGTTGCCATCCAGACAAATTATCACTGCACTTCAGAGAATTTCTCACTGAAGACAAACAGGGAACAAACTGCACGTCTTTGGCAAGCCAACACCGATAACAAAAGGAGCTACAGCCTCATCTTTTAAGGGCTTTGGTCGATGATGTTTTGAATTCTACGGAGAAAGCAGTAGAATCCAATGCAATCAATGGGGCTGGTGCTTAATCCTGCACAGGAATATTAGGTATTCTTGATCACTTCCCACAACACTGGTTTATTTGTTAAAACTGAAAGAAACTGGGCAAAGACCGGTTCTCTGCTGCTACCAGAGACCATCACCTAAACCAGACATGGTTTCTGTCAGTAGATCATTAAGATGATCTAATTATTAAGATTAACATTAAGATCTAATGATCAGGTAGATCATTAAGATCATCCACAGAAGTGCTGTTCTCTCATAGCTTCAGTTGTTTTCACCGGAACCAAGATGCTACAATTCACTGAAAGTTTCCCCAAATTCCTCGACTGGTAAACAAATCTCTTGAGATACTCTCAGCATCCCGGTAATGATCCCTCCATAACCACTGAACTAACATTATGGTAGGACTTGCTATGACCCAGAGATTCCACATTGCGAGATTTATACAGTTAAGTGACCACTGCTAAAAGGCTAGGAATTTTGTTGCATAGTTCAGTGTTTCAGAAAACACTTTCAAGCAAATTAGGAAGAGCACTGTACACAGACTGCAAAGGCAGAGATTCCTTCCAACTGACGTTCTCTGACAAACCTATGGCACAGCACGCAAACTTCTTACCACACAAACTGTCAAGTTGCACACACCACTGCATGCCTTGCTCCTGGGGAGAGGATGCGATAGATGGTAATAGTGCTGATTAGTACACATAGAAGACAGCACTAAGACATCAGGATGACACAAAAAAAAAAAAAAAAAATTAGAAAAAAAAGATATCATGAGAGCAATCAGTATAAGTATGATGAACCCAGATCAGGCAGGAGACAGAAGCTGAGTAGGATACCAACTGTAAAGATTAGCTTCTAAAAGCACATGTAGTAAAGCAGTTCATTATCTTTTTCAGCCATCTCTTAGATTTAATAGATTTCTATCTTGATAAGATTAAGACTTGCTTAATAATTGTCTGATTAAAATATAATAAACCTGGGAAAATTAAAATAAAGCCTTTTTAGTAACCTGGAGATGAGATGGGACTTTTCAGCCAGGCTTCTACAAAATAATTTCTGTAATGTTCACCTCAGGATCCCAAAGCACTTCACAGTCATTTAATTAAGCTTCAACAGAGCACAAACTCCCCATTTTACAGCTGAGGTAACAATGAGAGGGAGTTTGGAAAAGGCTGTTTAATACTGAGCAGAGCTAAATGTTCTGTTATTTTGCCCAAAAAATAGATTCCCAACACCTATAGGTAGATTTCTTTCTCCCCTCACCATTTTGGCAGCCTCCAAAGTAATAATAAAACTCAAATATGCGATGCACAATCTAAAGAACAGCCCTCATCATCTTCCAAGCTGCTCAGATTTGGAGTATAAACACTGCTGCCCATCTATCTTACAAGGCTGCTCCTAGCTGTTCCCTTTACTCTAGCCATCCCTGTGCCTCTGGGCCCCAGTGGACCCACTTAAGATTCCCTTCTTCTAGTTTAAAACTTAGATAAGGCAAATCATTAAAGACTCTGACATTTTTGCCTCTAATCCACAACAGGTCAATGACTGAGTGATTTCCAAAGCAACTACTAGTCAGCAAAGGATTTGCATTTCTACTGAATACAGGCAGGCAGTTTGTCTAAAGCCACCCCAAGATCCTAAACTAGATCAAGTTATTTGCAGGAAAGAGGGAAGGGAGCAATAGGAAGCAGACTCTGACTTATTAAAATGGAAGTGATTACAATATTACACTGATTGCATACTGCAAGCAACACTGGATGCTGAACAGCATTTGGTGAGAATACTCATGGGTTACAATAACTTGGGGAAGGCAAGAGAAAGAGACATACTCTACAGAAAAAACACTAATTCACTCTTAATCTAGCCCATTATTTCTAGATTTGAGTAGGCAGCTTTCCTTTAGGAGGTAAAATGATGGGGGTGGAATTATGCCATCCCACTGTCACTAACAGACCACTTTGTGGATGGCAAAAGATAAGGAATGAGCATAGAAAATGCTATTTAAAGCTCCACTCAGGAACCTAGAAATTTGCATTTGATAGAAGGGATTTAAATTGTATTAGAAGGCAAGGTGCACTAAACAATTACAGTTTATTACTATGTTGGTTCACTGCCTGAACCTATACTTATCACATACTGCAGTAGCAAAGGAGCAGCAGTGCTCGGTGCACTGGAGCTCTATGCATATTAATATGAGGGTTAGCTGAGCAAACAGGGAAGGGGCCAAATGCTTCGGAAAAAAAAGCGGTTTGCAGATTTTATGGACAGATCGGAGTAATTTGGGACTTAAGTCACATTTCAGAGAAAAGTTTTCCATTATCCAAACGGCATTTTCAGCACAGTGCTTGGAAGAGAACGCTCTTTGCTGTATCACAGCATATAAGCTGCAGAATGACTCCGACCCAAGAGAGAAACACATATCCTGCAGCAGCTGATTCAGAAAGACATTATACACACCATCTCCCCTCGCAGCTGGAGCAGGGCCAGAGACACTCGTAGTCTATCTGCTTCATTTGTTGTTATGCTGCATATGAAGGCTACAGTGCGAATATTCATACCGGTCAAAATTTTTTTTTTTTTTTTTTTTTTTCCCATCCAGTTTTCACCTTTGATGAAAAATTTTTCATCTTTGATGAAAATCTGAAGGTTGTTATATTACCATGTGCTTCCTTTCTTTAGCTGGGGGAATAAAACTGATGCACCCCTGTCGTTCCTCTGGACCCCTCAAAAACATTCCCCTGTCTTTTCACAGCGGCCTCCAATCAACCTTACTCATCCCTTCCTTGTGCCTTGAGTTCATGGCAACTTGTGTCCTTACTCATCCATACAAAAACCCAACGCCTCAGCATTCAGACCTTCTCACATGCTGAACAAACAGGGACCAACATCTGCAGTGCTGCATTGCTGGGGAGAGAAAAATCGAACGGTACTTCTGTCACAGAACCAGATTAGGCCAAAGGGGAACAGCCAACCTTCAGAAGACTGTAACTTTTACCAAACTATGACACTGGGGAGGGAAAACACAGAGAATACTGAATGAAAACTGTGGGATACCATGAGAACACTAAATCTTATGACTCAAAACACATACAGGAAACTGAAGCAACCTTCAGGTTCCAGTAGATAACATTTTAAAGCAAAAGCTTGGAAAGGATCTCTCAGAATATGTCCCGCTTATTAAGGATCCATCTGAATATACCTACTTTCCTGAACAGCAGGGAGGAAGAACTGTTTCTTTATGGAATAATATGGGGTGACAGGAACAGGCTCACGAATGAATACCAGGTACCAGCAGCACAATACTCCATGGCCACCATGCCTTCAGTGGCACAGCTTGGGTAAGTTCGACTTCTCACTTCTGCAAAAAAAGTGTACTGCTACTTCACAGAGTGACTCAACACCTACCCATAGCATAAGACTGTGCTACTAATGCCCTTTGAAAGCACTAATGTGCTAAATGGCATCAGGGACAGGAAGTTACCAGTGTTAACCCACTTCAACTGGTTTAACAGTTACAAGGAATAGAAATGTCTATATGCAAGACACTTCCTCTGAGAGTCCCCTTGCCTGAAACAGAAGCACACAGCCTTTCAATGTGCCTCCCCACTAGCATAATTGCTCACCAACTGCTTTCTCAAATCAATTATGTTGTCTCAGCATTAAAGGATGGAAGGCAGAGTAGACCAACTTTTTGTTTATCTAGGCATGCTGGCAGGTTACAGTCATATGTTCTGCCATCTGTACTGCTAGCTTCATCCTTTATCCAATCATAACAGGTAAAATGGCACTGGTGTAACTGAATCTGTTCGCTCAGTCAGGGAAGGAGCCAGAACAGGCATTTGTTCCCCCCCCCCCATTCTGAAAGGAAGCAGGAGATGGACACTCTTGCCCTTTTAAAACATTCTGCTTTTCAGTAGATGGGCAATTTGCCCCGGTCTGCTAATGTGGGATCTGTTCAATGCAAGGCTGAAAAGGTTCCATCCCCAGGGAAAGCATCAAACTGCTGATGAACATTTGGTGGCCTTTAGCAAAAACGATGAGATTTCTGCCAACAGGATCCCAGCAGACCGGGAAGGACAAGCTCCAAATTAGGTGGGATTGTGATGCAGGAACTTCAGACGGCCTGTACGGGGTATATGAGGAGCTTGCTGACTAGCTCTAGTCTTTTCCCCTCTGCACTCCTTTCTTATTCATATTTTTTAAAATTACAAGTATACTGGCAAATGTCATGGCTGCATTCAAGAGAACCTGGAAACTTTCAAATGCACAGGGTGTGTGAAGATGACCTTTCTTTTGATACAAAGGCTGCTGGGCTGGGTGGTTTCTTTTAAAATTTGACAGTATTAGAAAAGTTGTGACTAAAGGTGGTTGCAACTACTTAGAAAGTGTGTCTATAGGTCAGTATCAGTTTCTACCCTTCTCAAAAATAAACAATCCAAAGGCAATTTTCTAGAAAACAATTCCCTTTGTCCTAGATAAGATGCTTTTAAATCAACACTCACATTCACCTTCATCTTTAGACCCTTTGTCTGAACACTAGGACATATTGCTCCTTCAATCAATTCTGGTTATATTACTAAATAGCTTTAATTATTTAATAAGAAATGGCTGCAGCTGAAACCTGAGTTATGTCAGACAGGCGTGTCCAGCAGACCTATTAGTCTTCAAATGATTACCTTTTCATAGTCTCAAAGGAGCAACAACATCGTGCTTAACCATGAAGGGGCTCAGTTGCTGAGTTTTTTTGGGGGAGGAGGAGGGGAGGTGCGAGGCAGGGGAGCAGGAGGATTTTAATAGTTCCCTTTTGGCAACACAGGCCAAACCCCTGTATCTCCAAAACCCGGCCCAACCATAATTCCACCTTAAAAACAGAGCACAAATATTTGTTACATAAAAATAGGTTTCATTACAAATATGAACACTGTGTACTGTGCGTTTCCAGGTGAATTACTATCAGGAGTGTGTTTTTTGGTCTGAAACAGTGCCAGAAGCTTTTCGGTACATGTTTCTGTATATTTTTTCGAGACTCTCTTCAAAGATCACTCTGTGAGGCTTCCCCTTGTATACGGCCGCACGACTAGACCAATATTCACCATTATTCAAGTGAACAGTAGTTTTCTGATGCACTGGTGAACTGTCAACAGAAAGAAGATAAGAAATAATGATCAAATCAAGATAAAGAAGAGGAATCAGAAGCACAAAACCACCAGAAATCCAAATGCAGAGCTGCTAATCACAGATTACCTTTCACAAATTGATAAAAAACCTGCACTGGAGCTACTTCTAAGAAATGGGAGCCCCATGTTATTAATTCACACAGATTCTCCCCCACTTATCTGAGTGCACCCGGTAATACCTCCCAAATAAAGAATTAATTTTCAAAGAGCATGCAGTAATTTTGCTGTATTTTGATAGGTAGTGTGACTAGGCACTAAGCCTATGCAAGAGCAACACAGTAGGATTTTTGTGTCCTTTGAAGGTCAAAATGAAACCACAAGCAGCTATTTCAATATGAAGACAATCTATCAGAGGTATATTAAATTACTGTGGTTGCAGCTGCAAAGTGCTCTATCAGAAGCATCTTGGATTAAGTATTCTACCAAATACATTATGATATAGTGGCAATCGAGTGTTCCTTCCCCACCCCATCTTCTGTGTCACTGTTGTAATACTAAACACAAATACAGTCTCATATTTCAGTTGCTTTGAGAAATTATTTCCTGGATCTATGAAGTAAAATTTATTCTCTGAAAATCATTACAAAAGACTGACAAATCTGAAGTGTATATGTCTAAACTTCAGGACTATTTGCCTTCTCTTGAAACTTTCAAAACAAAGGCTTATGTCATCTAATGAAATGAGCCATTTTCCTGTAACAAAGAATGAAAGAGGTAGCTCAAAACTCATAAGCAAAAAATGACCACTGAGGTGACATTTTTCACATCTGCTCAGAGACTTAGGCACTTAAGACACTTAAAAATTAGGATTGAGTTATCTTCAGCCTTTTGTGAATGTTCTCAGTCTGGGATATGAAACTGGAGATGTGAAGCTTAGAGTAACCATCTTCACTTAGGAAATGGATTACATTTCACAGAGAAGCTTTACATTTTCTTATATAAATATCATTTAATCAATCTACTGTGGACAAACCAGTACTTAAAACTTTGTCTTCCAGTTAATATCAGTAAACACCTGTGACAAAACTTAAAGAAACCTTATGTCAAATGACTCACAATTATACTTCTAGCTAGGTGCATCAAAACACAAGATTTTCAGTTTAAGAAAGGAAAATGGTGAGAGGAGAAGAGGGAGATGTAGGATCAGTTTTCTAAATTCACATTTCTAAGCTTCCACTGTCCCATGCAAAACAAAAGAAGGAAGAAGCTTTTGCTTTTAGATTTCTTACATTGAAATAATTAGGGCAATGCCAACCTATACCACATAAAGCAACAAGATCTCTATGTAGCTCCAATATTAAAAAGGGAAGAAAGCCACTTTCACACTTTTTCAAAAAAGCTCCAACATGTAAAGTCAGTCAACAGCATGAAGCAAATTTAAACTGGTTTATCATCCTGGAGAGGGTGAACTGTCTTTCACAGTTTGGACACAAAGAAACCAACCTACCAAACAGCAAAATCAACAGAGAGGTTACACAGGCCTGTGTTAAATGTAGACAAGTCAATACCCTGGGGACCCACCAACAACTGAAGTTTTACCTCCTCCTTTCTGCAGTCTGTGTTACCTCACTTCCGATGGAGAATTCTCAGGCCAACAAATAAGCATGGCACTAGGAGCAGCACTTGTAACTATACACAAACAGCTTGGACTCTCTTTTCCTTGGAATCCATTTTCGGCAGTCAGCCTTATGTTTGTCTTTTCTTCTACTAAAAGTTTAATCTACATAGAGACACTCAAGATCTAACCACTTCAACTTCAGGAAAGGAAAGACTCAAAAAACAACAGTAAGTTTCACAATTTCCTTATTCTGGTACTGACAAAGACATAAAAAAAGACATAAGCTTAATTTTCTCTTCTTTTTTTTGGAGGGGGTGTGTGTGTGTGTGTGTGTGTGTGTGTGTATGTACTTCCTTTAGCCAGTCCTTGCACATGAGATAGCACCAGTGAGGACAAAGATACAGCCAAGCTAGGGAAGAGTCCTCCTCCTGTCTCAATTGGAAACCAGCTGACAACTCGAGCTAAGCAATCTGGGAATTACACTCACAAATCATATTAACAGCAGGATTTCTGCACGCAACTCCCTGCTCTGAAATACCTGTCATATGCTTTTGTTCCCTCATACATCTCCTTTAAGAGTCCCAGAAGTTCTTTTCTGAGTGAATCATATACTAAATATTTCAGAAAACACGGTCCTTTTCCTTACTCCCAGTGGTTTTCAATCATCTATCTACTTTACTGCCAACATTTGGTCGACAGTACCATGTCCTTCTATGAACTCTGTCTCTGTCCTTGTATCCTGTTTATGAGCACTGTGGCAAACACTCAGCAATCAGACTGTCCTCGAGTCCTTTTATGTCCTGCCCTTCAGTGAATGGGACTAGTGCCACCAGCCTCTAAACCCAAGGAGCAGTCCTCTCCCAACTTGAGTACCACATTTCGTATCCCATGATTCTGTAGTATTAGGGTTTCTTTTTTCTTTTTTTTCACAGTCTGCAGTTTCAGCATCAATCTCAAAGTCCCAAAGCTGCCTCAGAACAAAAACTTGCACTTTCTCTCTCACAAACACATCCTACACAATTTAATTGCAGCAACTGTCAGGACAAAGGATAAGGGAGCAAAAAGGCTACACAGAGAATACAGGAGTGAGCACAGGTATAGAAATACTAACAACGCCAGTAGCAACTTCACATACATATGAAAATCTGACTAACTAGATCCCCTGCAGAGGTGACTACAAATTACAGGAATTTTTAAAAAAGCCAATAAATCATAAATGAAATTTTCTGAGCTTACTAATTGCAAGCAGAAGTTGACTATTACATCCAAATCGAATTACCCTCCTTTCAGTGGTATACACTGGTGATTCAGGAAGCCTTTGTTACAAAATACTGCATCACATTTAACTATCAAATTAAACCCTTTTTTTCCTAATGTCAAGCACTCTCAAATTTAGCACCACAGTTTTAGGACTTCTCTCTTACTATGAAGAAAAGCAGAAAAGCCATGTAACCCAAAAAATGTTTTACATGACTTTGTATCTTTCCTCCAGCAAGTACCTAAAATGTTGTACAAAATACCGTGTGTGTACATAGAGAACACCCACATTGATAACTTCTACTACAGAAGTTGTCAAAATTAGTTCAATTGGTGTATTTTAAGTAAACGTTCAAATGAAACCCTAGTCATATATGTGAGGAGTGCACAGAATAACTAACCCACTTAAACCAGGTTTTGAAGACCTCAGGTTTTCAAGATGTCTTCTGAAATATGGCATGCTGAATCACTAAACCATACTATATATATTTGCTGTGTTTTTTTAAGATACTTCTCTTTTCCAAATGTGTTTTGGAAAAGAAAGAACAAACCAACAAAACAGCCCCAAACCATATTACTAAATAAACTTCAGTTTATTTTTGCACTCCTGTAGTTTTAAGAAAAAAAACAACCAATTGGTTATTTTTGAAGTGACATTTGCTCTCTGGTTGATAAAATCTAAAAACTACTGCCCAAATATAATTTTTATGACCAAGTCCAGTTCCAAAATCAGTGTTTTACTGAAGACTACACTGACACACTGCCAAACAGCATGAAAGGCATAATTATAGTTAACCGTATTTTGCTTTAAGGTGAAAAAGCTTGGTAGGACTAACTCCTACAGAAGTCTTTGCCCAGTGCAATATATTACATAGCTCAAAATACGAAGAGAAATTTTTAGCTAAATTTAAAGGGCAATATCATGAGCATGGCTGTTCTGTCTTGGTCAGAGAAAAACTCCATACCTGCTCTGCAGTTCACTCAGGGATAAGGGCGCTTTATGCGAAGATGCTCTTGTCTTAGTCAAGTCTTTTGATGAGTTAGTCTCATCCTAAAAAAAACAGAAATCAAATTCTCATTATCTTGGTTTCTGATTACAATAATCTCATTTCAAAAATACTTTCTTTCCATTTAGTAGAAGACTATTAAAGTGCTTACATTTCTTGAGGGAGAAAGGGACAAAGTATGAGACAAATGCCATTTATTAACACTTTTAATTAAGTTCAGTACAATTCAGCTAATAATTTTCAGGTAATAAACTGGAAAGAATTTCTGACAGTGCAGATCTAGAGAACTATGCAGACAGCACAAGCTTCAATTATCTTCAACAAACAACGTTGGTAAAACACTATGAAACCTACTGCTCAATGCGTTTTGATTCTTGCAGAAAAGGGGAAAAAGAACCTAAAACTTACTATTTATTAGCTTTTATCATGAGCTATCATTATCCATTGAATGCATTTTACCAGACAGAAGCATTCTATACATCTGAATACTTTGGTTCTACACAGAGGTCTGAGAACATGATTACCCAACTTTAAAAAAAAAAAATCTATGATACACTTAATGACCCTTCAGTAGTATTCTCAGGAGTCTCTAGAAAGCAGTCTTACCTTCCAAATGCTATCTAGACAGTAATTAACTCATATTTGCCCTCTTAGGTATGTAAGAAACAAAACACCTCATGTGCAGGGAGCCAGATGCTCACCTGAGACAGGATGGTAGAAATTCCACCATACACAACCACGTTTACTGTACTCTGAAGAGCAAAGACACTACTTAAGAGGTGATACTAAGTGATCACCTCTTTTTCACAGCTTCAGCAGAAACCAATTGCTGTAAGGATTAGTAAACAAAATAATCTTTTATGCTATAGAAGAAATAACTGGAAGAAAAGACAATAAATATAGTAGTAGATGGCAATAAGATGCAGAGCGAGCTAAATGGCAGGCATATGGATGAGGAAAAACCCAAGACAATTTATTGTGGTGAAATACAAGGTAAGAAGTGTGTTTGTAAACAGGAAAACTCCTCCTTCAGCAGTCACAGACAACAAAGCACTGAAAAGGAAATGGGGTACAGTGGTAAATAAAACCACAGCATTTGCCAGAGGCAAATTATGTTCTGAAAAGCAAGAAAGAGGGAAACATTACAATATTGTCAGAACGTCACAGCAGAAAGCTACAGTGGACACCCTAAGGAATCTGTAGCAGAGCTCCAGTCACACTATTTTTACAGAGCACTATGGAAACGAAATTTTGGAAAACACAGCTGGATGCTTCTGGGAATAGTTATTTAGCATTAGGCTCCTTGGAATGAAACAGAGTAAGAGAGACTTTGTAACCTTTCAAAGTTTGGAAGAGAATCCAGACTGGAGCCAAAATCTACTCACTACATTGCCAGTGCACTTGCTTTACTATTCTCTACTTTCAAGATGACCCATTTAGCTCATCCATCCACTGCGTAACAACACAGCCTAGATTTTGGGCCATCTGGGGAAACACAACCAATCCTGTTGTATTTTACACAACTCACTGCAAGCAGACCTGATTTTTTTTTTTTTTTTTTTTAAGCAGGTCAGTTGCTGTTAGCACAGCTTTCACAAGGTAGCTGTACACAAACACCATGAGACTTCTCTGTAACATCCTCCTATTCCTTTTGCTCTGTGGAAAAAAATGGACTGAGAAAAACAGTTCTTTTCCAGTATTGCTCTGACCAGGTTGGTAATTAAAGGCTGAAAAATCTTACCCAATACCCCGATATCTCATTTTTTAGGGCAGAAACATGAGGTTTTCCAACAGGAGAGGAAATAGAAAAGCATAATCTCTGATCATTAATCCTTGTGAGTATTCAGCAAGTGTTCCATACTGGAAGTGACAAGGTACGCTAACGGAAAGCCAACAGAAAGTACCGTGCTGTAAGATTCTAACATCATGCTTGCAAATTTGTGTGTATTTGTGTAATATAGCTGCAACAAGTCAATACCAGCATAGTGTAAGTCATTTTAGAGTAGAATGTTTTAAATTATATAAGTAAAATAAGTAAATAAGACGAAAATCATCAAATTCTCCTTTACCCATTATTATATTTAATAGTCTTTATGACTGTATGGAGACCGTGTAACCAGCCATCCAGCTCTCCTAACAAACTAGTAAATCTTTTATCATAAAGTCATGGTCTACTGTTCAAGGAAAGTAGTCAAGGACCACTGCAGATAGTTCAGGCTGTGCAAACTTTCATTACATGTAGGTGATGGACCGTCATGAAGTCCAATTTGTTATCTTAAGTTCATTGAAACATCAGAGAAGCCTTTGACATGATTTGTACCTATTTTGGAGTGGCTGAAGCACAGAAAAATGTGATGGGCATCTTTTATTTGAGAGGCAGCAGCTCACAAGATCATAACATTTGTATACAACTCAGGGAGGTACAGCATGGACTAGATTAAACAGTCTTAGCATGCCCGAGAAAAGGTTTTTCAGTTTAAAACAAAAAGCACAACAACTAAGCTAAAAATGAAGATTGAACCAAAATGAGAAAATAATCAGATTAAGAGAGCACACAGGCAACATCAGGAGCTCCCCAGGATAACTAAATTTAGGGAAATAAATAAATAAATTGAGATTTCAGAGCTAAGACAGATGTTCTTCAGTACATCTTGCAGCAGCGGATTGAAAAAAACCCACCTTCCCTTCTGCCCCTGCGCTCTGCCATGGCTTTACTGTAGTCAATACATCAGCACAGCTCACATGCCAGTGCACTAGTGTCACGCCTGCCCTTCCTGTGCTGAAGTGTGAGGTGGGGATGGGGTGGCAGGGTGCTCTCAATCTTTATCATGCTTCCCACTGATACAGTAAAATAAGTCAGAGGGGAAAGGTGGACAATTGGGGAAAGCAGTAACTTAAAAATTGCAGCAATGTTAAAAAGCAGATTGCTGTCACCACTCATTTTTCTAAGAGGAGAAACAAGCAAAAAAGATGTCTTTCTCCACTTTGAGAGACTTGTGTCTCTTCTAACTGACCAATAATATTTCTGTATAGACTGTCAGACAAAAATAACAATTTCATCACAGCTCCTAATCTTAATCTTACCTACCTGTCATCATTATATCCTTTTATCTTAAGTTTCTCTTTTCTCATCTTACACTTAAAGATGCTAAGGTTTTGCACATCAACAAACTTGTTACTCAGTTTCATAGAACTACAGAATCATAGAATGGTTTGGGTTAGAAGAGACCATAGAGATGATCTAGTTCCAACCCCCCTGCCATGGGCAGGGACACCTTCCACTAGCCCAGGTTGCCCAAAGCCCCATCCAACCTGGCCTTGAACCCTTCCAGGGATGGGGCAGCCACAGCTCCTCTGGGCAACCTGTGCCAGTGTCTCACCACCCTCACAAGAAAGAACTTCTTCCTTATATCTAATCTAAATCTACCCTCTTTTTGTATAAAGACATAATCACTCATGCTATCCCTACCCTCCCTGATAAAGAGTTCCTCCCCATCTTTCTGTAGCACCCCTTAAGTACTGAAGGATGCTGTAAGGTCTCCCCCGGAGCCTTCTCTTCTCCAGCTGAACCCCCCCATCTCTCTCAGCCTGTCCTCACAGGGGAGCTGCTCCAACCCCCTGAGCATCTTCGTGGCCTCCTCTGGCCCCACTCGAGCAGGTCCGTGTCCTTCTGCTGTTGGTGCCCCCAGAGCTGGACCCAGCACTGCAGGGGGGTCTCACAAGAACGTAGCAGAGGGGGAGAATCCCCTCCCTCGCCCTGCTGCCCACACTGCTCTGGGTGCAGCCCAGCACACGGTTGGCTTTCTGGGCTGTGATCGTAAATTGCTGGCTCATAGTCAGTTTTCCATCCACTAACACTCCTGAGTCCCTCTCCTCAGGGCTGCTCTCAACCCACTCCTCGCCCAGCCTGTATTTGTGCTTGGGATTGCCCCGGCCCATGGGCAGGACCTTGCCCTTGGCCTTGTTGAACTCCATGAGGTTTGCCCGGGCCCACCTCTCCAGCCTGTCCAGGTCCCCCTGGATGCCATCCCTTCCCTCCAGCCTGTCGACCGCACCACACAGCTCGGTGTGGTCGGTGAACTTGCTGAGGGTGCCTCAATCCCACTGTCCGTGTCACCAACAAAGATGTTAAACAGCGCTGGCCCCAACACTAAGCCCCGAGGAACATCACTCGTCACTGCTCTCCACTTTGTACAATGCTTTGGTCAGGGAGATACTATGCCATAACTGGGTTTCTCCAGACTGCAGTATCAAAAATTTTTATTTGTCTAAAAACCACACTTCGAGATTCCATCAGACTCACGGACAAAGCCAGGTAATTAAGGGAAAAAAGCACACATCTAAAGAATAATATTAGCTCTACAAACAGCTGGACACAAGCAGCTGCCAATGCGCAGCTACACAACGTGTTAATTCTCAATGCTCTACAGATCTGTAACATAGTCTTTGATTAAATCAGAAATGGAGAAACAGATATAAAAAAAAATGTAATTGTCCTTAATAACCCATGAGAGGGTTACCTATACCAGCTGTCCATAAATGCTAAACATAAAGAAGGCTACTGAAATCATTATGAAACAGTTCAACTTATATACTGAATCCATATTTCTACAATGAAAGCTGCCTGAAAGGACAACATTATAATAAATCCAAGACTGTAGGCACAGTTCCCTTCCTCAGCCATCTTGGAGAAAATAAAGGATTTAGTTTGTAGTCAAACTTACAAAAATTAGGCGCTGTCTAGCACTGTGTGTCCTTAAAATATTTTTCACTCTTTTATGGATCTCATCTCCATTTGCTGGTGAAGGCCAACTAGAGCTAAATCTGCAAGAGGAAGAGGGAAAACAAACAGAAGAAATATTTTCTAGTTGAAAAGATCAAACATGCTTTTGACTCAGATTAAGTTTTTTTTAATTATGAAGCATGCATTGCTTCCTTCTATTTGGAACATACACAGTGTTTAGATTTGATTCTTTTCCTCCTCTGGGATACAAGTAAAGAAACATTTCAAATCAGTGCACAAATCATATGCAACCACATTAGCAACAGAAAATACAAAAAATAGAAAACGTTGATGATTTTGCAACGCGTAATATTTCCATAATGTTTTTATTGTCCCTAAAGAATAAAAAAGCTCTATAGTTATTCTGTTCCCAGTGATCAAGCTTCATTTTCCTCTTTTTAAGGCAAGTATTACACACAAAACTCTTTTCACTGGAATAAATTATCAGGAAGATAACCCCAACGTGTGCAAATTGGAAAGCCCATGGAGTTAAAAAACCTGCAAATACACAATTTTATTTCACAAGATGGTACTGAATTTTAAGTTGCTTTTCTTCAATAAAAATGAGGTAGCTTGCTTGATAAGAGTGACTTAAAACCAACAGCTACTTTTGGATTTTACCATTTCATTTTTTGCAGCACACTTTTTCCACTTTACTGAAAAAAAACCAAAGCCAACTCATCCTTCTCAGAAAGTTCAGAAGCCTTCAGAAATTTCGTATCAATAGTTATTCTCAGACTTATGAAAGGCAACTAAGATTTTAAGAATAGGATCGTTTACACATCAACCACATGTTAGTACACTCAAAAATGTATTATTTAAAGAAAAAGAGGGGAGGGAGATCAACATAAGGAAAAAAAAATATTGGGGAGAAATTATGAAATGTTTACTTACACAATCTCATCACAGTGGATAGAAACAGGGCACTAGATCAAGATTGTGCATCTTCCTTTCAATGCTTCCCAACCTCTGAGAACCTGACTTTGCACCAAGAAAATAAAAACTCATGATGTGGTATCATGCTAATAGGAATACAGATCACCAGGCAAGCTGCGAGCTGGCAAGCCATACCGCTGCAATCTGAGGTAATGGAACAACAGCCAACAGCAGTACTGGCTGCTGTACTCTGGGTGGATTAAGAAGCATAAGAAACAGTGACATGCTTTGATAGTTTGCTTCACAAATTTGATGCACTGGAGAAACATCATGACTCTGAGCCGTGAGATTCTACAGTGGGCTCTGGATGGGTTTGTGAGCCTGGGACTGCAAGCCCGCCTGCCCTCTTCTCTCCAATTTATCACATTCCCTGTGTTATTATTCCCAGTCTATCACTCTGAAATCCCCAATCTGATTGTGCCTGACTGAGTTTACCTTCATCAAACTTCCAGAAATTTCAGTACAACTGCATAACTCTACAGCTCCTTCCAAAAAGAACAAACCAAATACACACAGAAAGCTTCAGTCTAAAACAAGTAAATTGGCAACATTAAGATTAATGGAAGCAGAATCCTGAAAACGGGAAGTGCCAGGCTGCCTTGAAGGTTACAGGCAGGGCAAGGAGCTCTTTGAATGAACCAATCTTTTGGTTCATTCCTTCTATTACCACAGGGATAGAGATATAAGTAGAAAGTGACCAGCTGTCTGCTTCTGAGTAACATTCTCCTATTTTTTTTGCATCTAATCCACTTATTTGGACTCACTTACCATTGTTTACCGTTCCGAAATATCTCTCTCTGTTCTTAACAGCCCCAACACTTTCAGCCTATTTATGAATTTCCTTAAATCAAATAATCTATTTCTGAATGCTTCTATTTTTCTTCAAGAAAGGGTGCCAAGGAATGACACAATATTGGAAGGATGAATCATATAATCTATAGAGGGATGTATTTTCCATATTTCTAGTGACATTTAACATTGTTTATCTTTGGATCATTACAGGCAACCATTTTCACGAAGCTGGCTGTAACATTCATATTAGCATCCTGAACATTTACAATTAATTTCAAACCCAACAGCATGTATGGCAAATCCATACTGTTCAATTCTTTTGCATACTAGAATCTAACGATCTGTTGCACTAAAAGATCTCATATAACTTTTTCTAAAAGAAAGCAAAATGGTTTGTGAATTTGATTAGGGGAGGAAAGCATTGCATTTAAAGAAACAGAAGTTTAAGTGCGTTAAGCAGGCAGGAACATTCATTTCCATAACACAGTCAAACCCAGTTTGATGTACTGCATTACCATGCATGTGTTTTTTTTTTTTTTTTTTAAAGAGAGGTAAAGGAAACGGGTGGAAGTGCTACTATCATCTTATGACTTCCCATTGGCATTTACAAACACTAATATTACAGAACCTCTGAATGCATGTTTAAAAATCTGCATCCTAGATGCAGTAAGAGTGAGTCATTTCCCATTTGACAAACAAAAGATAGACCCATGAAGTCATGGCATTTTCTTATTTATAGAGCAGTTGCTGTTCTTCCAACATCCAGGTTGCCGGCACTGAGAAGAGAGTTGGAATAGATTGCCTTTGGGAAATAAATTTTATGAAATTCGTATGTAAGATTTCAGATCATTGTTATTAATCTTAAATTTACAAATATCCTTGGAGATAAATGTATTTACTTTTGGAAAAAAGAAAACCCAGGTTGCTATTGTATTCATTTAGAAAATACATGGCTATGTCTGCAAGAAGAAGAAGAAGATTTAAGTACTTAATTCAAGAACTATTAAATTTTTTTTCTTCAGATGATTTTATTGATCAATCCACTAGTGTGCGCTGTGGTATAAGAAACGTTAGCCACTTGCACATACCCCAAATTGAATTCACAAAAAAAACCCCCAACAACAACAAAAAAAAGCCTTAAGTGTGATTAAAACCAGTATCGGCTTCTTTTTAATTAGCTTTTCTAGTATTGTTATTATATAATTTTAGTAATAACTACAGCGTCCAATCCACATTTAAAGTCATAATGTTAATATGTACACCAACCAAAACTCAAACTAAAATAAAATCATGCCTGAAATGTAACAGCCATAATTTGAAGTAAAACCTTTTTATGATATTCTAACTCTTCTATTGGAAATATTTTATAAAACAGGCTTTCTAGCACAGCTTCTTAGAGTATAAATAAAGGAATTCCATTTGGCTAAAATCACCAGTAACAAGTTTTTAAAATGACTAGCTACTTATTTATGTGATTAAGGTGTCACTATCACATTGCAATGTTGAAAAGAAAGTAATTTCATTTCAATGACTGTTTGTCCTGATAAACGAAATAAACTTCTACAGCTGTATTCTTTGTCATACTTTCAATTTTCCCTGGGACTTGCAAACATTCTGCAGTTACATCAGTTTAAATTGTTTATTGATTCCAATAGATTGTATAAACACTTTGGAAATATAGCTCAGTGACCTAGAAAAAGCCAGATCAATCAGAGAACTTCTCAAGATTAATTTCAAAGATGTTGTGTCGAGTCTGATCAAGGAAACAGAACCATTTTCCCTTGTAATGTGACTAAAGGCATTTATTTTCTTTTATGAGATGAGGATTTTTTTAAGGTCATGCAGACAACATCTACCTTGATGGGAAAAAAAAAAAGCAGCCAAGACAGCCTAGATCTTGTGCTAAAGATTAAAGTTATTTTCATGTATAATTTTATCCATTAGGATGAAATACTCCATTAGAAATACAAACAGGATACATCCACCCATGTACTCTAGTCAAACAGCAGCTTGCGAACTTGAGAGCTGTAATAAATAGGAATTTTCAAATGTCAGACAATCCAATCATCCACTTGCACACAGCAAAAATGTTAATATCACATTTCAGCAGGAGATACTAATACATTTCATATCAGTAGGATTAATGCAAAAGCCTACTGCAGAACATTTGCAATGCCTATCATGACCCCTTCCCCCACCATCACACCTCCCAGCCTTGTGAACAACTCGGTGCATGTGGCCTCCATGAAGAATTCATCAACTTCAAAGACACAGACTTCATGCTGAGCAAAACCACATACAAGGACAAACTATCAGAGGACAGAAATCAATGAAGTACTGTAGTACCAGCCTGGAGAAACGCTACTGTAATTGGGGGGAAGAGGGAGAAAGAGCTCTTAAAGCTAAGTATAACCTGAAAAAAACACAATCTGTAAGAACTTATACATTGAATAAGAGAGATTCTTGAGGAAACCAAATATATTTAATTCTGAAATAAAAAAAAACCCTCCCAGATTTTATATCCAAGTAGGCATTTATGCAGCTTTCACAGTAAGTGGAGAAGTTGCTTTATTCTCATTTAAGAGGACATGAAGTGGTAATTCAGTACAATGAACTTGGGTTCTCAGTGTATATTGGTCTGTATGGAGGCACAATAGAAAGGCTGGGCTATACTGAAGAGTTTTACTGGTCGACTTAGTAAAGGACACAATTTTGTTTTGCTTTTTCTTAAAATGCTTGATGGCTATGGCCCTTAGTGTAGATGCAGCACAAAAGTGTTTTAGAGACTATATTGGTACATACTGGTTCCTGAATTGTAATGAAAATACACCAACATAAAAATCCTTATGTTCTCACAATATTTGAAGAGGAGGAAGTAGGCTGTTTTCACAATGCCAGGATACTACTTTGAAGCAAAAACAATTACACACAGACAATGCCTTAAATCAAAGCACGGAAGCTTAAATATTTGTAAGCAGTAGCTGACAGCTTAGCTGTGTACCCATTTGCTTTCCTTCTTCAGTAAGAAATGAAAAAAAAGTAAAAATTCCCCATCCTTTCTATACAGTTTCACTTACTTTCAAAAGCCCTGTTTACAGTTAGGCCTTAAACCACTAGAGATACATTCAGTGCTGAGTTTTTAAATATGGAAATGCTTTCTTTTGCCTCCTAAGGTTTCATATCTAGCGCTTAAAACTGTGGCAAGATACATCATCCTCATCTAAAAAGTGAAACTGAAGTGGCAGACAGCTTCCGAGATTTCTAGGAATACCAATAGTCCAGCTGAGCAGTTGCCCCAAAAAGGTTGAAGTCATTCTGGTGCTAAATCATCAGAATGTCATAAATGGGCTGCACCTCCTTATTATTTTTTGGAAGCTTTTCCGTTACCATCTATCTTCTCTGAATTTATTAATTTATACACAAAACAGCTTTGACAGCAATCAATTTCAAATTTACTTACTGCTGCAGCAAAAGCAACCAGTGAAGATGAAAAATTGTACAGATGTTGGTCAAAAATATGAATCAAGGCTTAGGTACTAATCAGTTTTGCAGAATACAAGAGGAAATAACTGATCTTCAAGTGCTGATTCCAGAAGTTAACTTAAAGAATACAAAATAAGTACACTACCCTAAGGGGTGAGATTCAAACACAATAGATTCAAGAATGACCTTACTACCAAACTAAATTCCAAAAAATCAGAAATGATGACTTCTAGATGGCTAGAAATGGACAGGAAACCTAGTTGCAACCTCCCCTTAAAGCAAACTTTTTTCCTGAAAAGTCTGCTAAATTGCAAAATGTTCCACTTCTTAGAAGAAGGTTCTCAGATCTTAAACATACACTCTCACAGAAGTAAACCCTGTCTTAGGATGCACACCACTCTCTAAAATATTAGGTGAACTACTCGTGTCTGGATTTTGCTACACAACAAAACTAGCATCCAGGATCCTGGGGTGACATATTTTAAGATCACTGAAGTCAAAGCTTCTGTTAACTGGAATTTTCAAGGACTTAGTGTAGGATCTAGCATTTCATTAATATCTAACTATTAATATCTATCATTATATCTATCATTGGTAATATCTAACTTTATGCTGGTATTTCCCTAGTACTTGGAAAAAGATAATATAAAAAGATGATAGTAAACCAATAGAGGAATATTATAGAAGGGCATCTGATCCAGACAGTTAACCTCTGTCTTTCTTCAAACAGAAGTTAGGTTTTTGTTAAATTTTATAGTAGTTAAGATCACATGTCAGCCATATAACCAGGAGGACATAAAAAGACATCGAGCTGCACTTCACTTTGGAAGCAAAAGTCTGCCATTTCCAGAGTAGGAAAAAGAATCCTTTGATCCCGAATGCATGAGAAGTAGTTTTGCCACTCAACATAACAGAAACGGTCAAATACTCCTATGATTGCTGTAGTCTCTTGAGAAAAGGATTTCTCTGGTGCCAGCACATAGCTCCATTCAGAGGACTTCTGTCATTACCTTACAGAATCCATCTCACTATTTTTCCTTTTCTTTACAAAAGATACTTTGCTGCAGGGTTCAGTGCTGCAAGGAAGGCTTAGCTTCTAAGCCCCCAAGAAAAACACCGTCTTCTAGGAGTGTATGAGGATGTACACACACCAGGAAAGCAAGCACTGGACTTGAATTTTCCTTTCCTGCAGCAGCATTGAGAGAACATAGTGCTAATGCTCTTTCACAAAGCACACAGGACACTTATCTATGCACAAACATCAAGACAGTGGGGCAAGAAAACCACACTGACACACTGCTGGCCACACATCATGGGCAGGAACTAAAGAATGTGTATGTACATTGCTCTGCACAGGAGCTAGAATCACAATGGGAAGGAAGCAGAGTTGTACAGCAACATCGCTCTGCTGTCATCTGCAACACCAGCTAATGCTTTCCCTAGGTGACCTAAATAATGAAAAAGGTAAAAATAAATTATGAAAAATAAAAAGTCAAAACTTTGCTGCCTTGTTCAACAGTAAATCTGTTTACAGTTCTGCTTCCGGCACAAACTCAGTGGAAATGGGGAGTGGGTTGGTTTGTGGTCTCTAGCAGGTTCACAGAAAGGAACTGGAAACTGCTAGAAAGCATACAAAAGGGCTCAGAGGACCTTATGCAAGACCCCCATTTCTGTATCACTGCAAATTATTGCAGTGCCTTAACATCTACTCGGCAGGGCTCTGCGAGGTACACCCGAGAAGGCAGCCATTCACTTCACACTACTTCTTTTTACAAAAAGGGAAAAAAGGGAACTAAAGGTTGAGGTGTGGAGTCAAGTTTCATATTGACTGTGGGTTTACTAGCATTAAAAAAAAATAGCCTGGATAGGCTAAGTTCTTTGTCTTTGTAATTCAAAATAAAATTAAGGAAATGAACACCAAACACTGCGAGATAAGACCATATTCTTGCAAATACACTAACACTGATATGCTTTCAGTAGTACTGATTTTCTCTGTATTTCTATGATCTGAACAGTAGCGTTTGCATGCATTTCCAAACACTGACCTCTGATCCATGTTTGTCATTCCAAGTATAAACTCTCAGTATACAGTCAGCTAAAACCATTGTTATCTCAGCAGCATGAAATAGAGAGCAAATTTTTTAGACTATGCCCTTTACCTTCTCATTTTGAATTTTTTATGATGACAAAAGTAAATGCTTACATCTTTAATATGAAGAGATGTTACATCTCTAAAGCGCTGAGAACATTTGTTCTAATAAGAAGAAAAAACATAATTTCACAAGATCGCAAATCTCTTCTAGAGAGGGGCTCATAAAGAGAAGAAGCAAGAACATTCAGACAAGTTCAAGATTAACTCACAGATGACAAAATTACTATGCACGTAACAGCAGCTCACAACATACAAGACTTTGCCGCTATCAATGTAAGGGACCCAGTCAGCTTTAAATATAATGCATTTTAAAATGTATCCTCCCCTCCCCAAAAGGTGTACAGCTGAAAAAAGGATAAAAAAGTCACTGTTACAGTATCTCTTCCCCAGACATGGGTAACTAACTCACAAACATTGTCAGAAGACAAGGTGACAAAGAAACCTCCTCCAAACCCCAGATACATTCTAATCTCTGTGTAACAGTTCTCATGACATACTATTACACTGAACAACAAACAAGTAAGTTTTCAAGCAGAGGAAGATGTTAAAACACCAACTTGATCTTTACAAGTATTAAAAATTCAATCCCCACCTGCCATCTGTCATTTCTCTTTTTAAGGAAAAAAAACAGAGACAATTTTTCTATTTTGAAAAAAAAGCTTTAGGCTGTGTGTAGGCTATAAAAATGCACCCGGTGAGCATTGACTAACTGAGGTACCAATGGTAACAAGGATGAAACAGCCTCGAACATGTGTGAACTAGCAACCAAAGTACATCTCCAAGTAGGGCCTCAGGAAACACTTCGGCATTAGGACAGGACATCTCTTTGAGCCTCAGCTTCTCCCAATTATTTTAAGCATTTGCTTATACAGGCCCACCTTTGTATATGGGCTTTCTGCTCCCAGAAAACCGTCTAGTAACTTACTAAACTGAACATACAGTAGAAGCATTGTGCACCAAGTACATGTTCTACTCAGCAGGAGGCAGGGAATGCTCTCCTTGAAGGACTGGAGGACTTATGCAAGAAAAAATCTGCTGCTTTTGACATTTCTTCCATTCTACCCTCATGCAACACTGAAGCTATGAGGCTTGCCCAAGATATTAATCCAGGGATTGAAATCCACTGAACTAAGTGATATTAGAAGCTGTCTCCACTTCTATTGGAGTCAGTGGAGACTACTAAGAAAATGAATGCAAATATAGAAATTAATGTACACACAATTGCTGCAGAGGCCCACACTTGAGCTCAAACCAAACAAAACCTTAGGACTGTCAATAAAGCACAAAGATTGGAAAATAATACACTGATTAGATTAAAGCTAGCTCAAGCATGTTAGGCACACTAGTCATACATCTGACTACAGCACAGTCACAGGTATGTGCTTACAAACACTAGCCAGAAGGAAAAAAGGTCTCCAAGTACTTCCCATAAAGATGACTTAGCATGTATCTATATTTACATTCCTGAGATTCTAATTGCCTCTGAAACAGTGATTATTTATTTAAGTACTCTCTGGTTTAGATGGACATTGGCAGCCTGAAATTTGGGGCTTCGTTGTTGCAGAGGTTAGCAACTGATCCTTTCCATTGCCATATTAGGGTTGTATCATTAAGCAGAGAGGTGATAACAAACATAGCACCTGAGGAAATGTCAAATGACAACATAGTTGTTGGGGAAAGATTTTTCAGGCTCTTCAGCCTGCACACCTCCAAACATGCAAACTATAGTCATGCAAGTACTGTTATCATCTGCTTATATTAATAATTCCAGAATTTCACAAACAAAACTAAGTCATTACCTTTCCCTTAGAGAAGACCGATTTAGCACAGAACTTAGAGAATGCTTCTGAAATGCTGGAGGTGCTGAATGCTCTAATGAACCAGAAGAATGGGATGGTCTGTTGGGTGGATCTGAGATCACATCCTCATTGCAAACATCGGAACTGTCAACACCTTTTCCATGAGTAGATTTTGCCTGTAAAAAGCCCACCAAACATTGCTAAAATTTATTATGAATATCAAGATATATGGTTTTCATGGGTTTATTTTTCAAACCAAAACGTTAAATGTTGCACATACGTGCAGGAATAACTGCCTGCTCAGGAAAGAACAGGACCCTCATTTCATAGAAAGAGCCCCGGTCTAAACTAAATCAAGTATCAGATGACTGTGGTATCTAATGCCATTTTAGGTCAAAGTCCACTGTAACAGCTTTTTTATCATCTTTTTTTGGCTGCACAGCTTGAAGGCTTACCCTTCCCAGGAATCTCACCGATTCAGATTGATGCCTGAGAGTCTAAACCAACACAAACCTTAGACTTCTCCTCAGTCTGGGACTCATCCTTCTTAGACTTTTTTTTTTTTCCCTCATCATTTGCTGTTCCTCAAGGAAAAACTCAGGTCCATCTACTCATCTTCTATTCAATCTTCACTATACTATTACTCCTTTCATAGTTCCTCATAACTATGTCACCATTTTACATGGCATGGGGACTTTTACACAAGCCCCTTCCCAATGCTGAGAAAAAAACCAAAACCCGCAACAAAACCACATCAACAATAATTAGGCTATTCATTAGGTCTTTCCAGGCTGTAGGGTTTTTTTCCTCAGCTTTGTGAAACAGCTCCTCTTAAATAAAGCTATATTATATTTCTGGCAAGAAAAAGATACATTCTCTTCAGTCCTGATTTTGTGAGAATCACAAGTGCAACAAGAACACGATGAATTAACCTGTAGCTCAGCTATGTGCATTCTCCAGCCACTGCTCCTAAAAGCTATTTTCCCATGGCAGGGGGAAAGATGTGGGGAGCAGAGGGATGAGGGAGATGACATGACCTTAAAATAGCCATCATTTAAAATTAAAAAAAAAAAAAAAAAAAGATGTATAGATGTATTTAGCATATTTAGTAGAGAGTCTCTATTTTCTTTACAGTTTCTCCTTTACAGCCATGGAACAATCCAGAAGTGGCACAACAGATTAGACTCACATGGTATGCAAAACTGCAATCCTTGGTAATATAAGTTTAGAAAGTGCACTTAACATATATCAAGGTTTAACCTTATAATTCCCCTTCCTTCCTCCTCCCTCTTATCATCAGTTTTCCCAGCCATTAGGAAATCTGAGAGGCTTACATAATTAAATGCCTAAACCCACAATTTCTACAGTACTTCAGGAACACAGGCAAAATCAACCAAATGAGGATGGAAAGAATATAAAACACCAAAATCCAAAAGAACCCTGACAATCTTCAGATCCATTTAATACACAGAACAACTAAAATCTGAAAAAGGAAGGATGTGAAATAACAGAGCAGTGGCTTGCCAGCTGTACCAATGCTACCTTTGCATGCAATTCCAGAATGAAGTGTGCTTCCAGAATGAATGGGAAGGCAAATGCAAACTGCCTTTAAAGGCTCTTCTACAGCCTTGTCACAAGCCTTAATGCCAAGGAGAAGAAAGTTCTGTACCTGCAGGCATGAGTATCTCATAGACTGTTAAGTTCCACTCTTCTATTTGTAAATAACTGTCAGCAGGCCTAAACTGGGCTAGATCAGATTTTAAATGTCCCTTTTCTTGCTTTTGATACTACAGTAGATAAAATTTCAAAAATACCTATACAAGACATCCTTCTCACTCAGAGCTTCCCAAAAAACTAATGTGTAAACAATAGCATTTCAGAGTACTCACTTCAGCTTTCTTGGGTCTGTAGCTGCCGAGAAGAGAAGGATCTGGAAAAATAAAAAAGGTGCATCCCAGAAGAAATTCAAAAGAAAATGTGAATGTCCTAAATTTTATGAAATCTTTTATAAAATAGCTTACCTCTCCTCCCAAACAGTACTAAAGCAAATTATTATTACTATTATCATTATTACACATTGTGAAATTCTGGACAGTCTCCTCAGAATATTTCAGGCAATCACTTTCTTTAGCTGAAAACAATCACTTCACATTTAATGGACTACAATGTTTATAATAATGAATCAGCATATGCACCATCTTCTGCATAGACAGAAGTGGCACATTTTGTTAAGCTGTTAATTGCCTAAATCAGTATAAAATCAATCTACCATTCCCCAAAATTCTCATGTACATGACACTACCTTACTAATCTCTGAACAAGGTTCCCTATGACCACTTCTCTCTCCTCCTATCACCTCTTCATTCCCTCCCTCACCACTGACCCACAAACATGAGTACAAAGTGGAAACACACATGGCGAAACTATTAGGTCCATACTGGGCTTGGCCAAGCCCCAAGAGGTGCTTCTACACTGCACAGCAATGTAAAGACACTCCCTATATTTGCTACCTTCATGAAAGCAAAAAAAGCAAAAAAAGGACTAAACTGTACTGTCTAATCCTAGAAATCTGTCTTTTTCAGAAGTTGCAGTTAAGCTTCAAGACACAGGCAGGTGACCAGTGAATTGTCTGGATATTAACAGTGAGGTAGACTTCAGTCTCCTAACCACTGTCCAGAAACCAACAACTGATTTTGTAAGTATGCAGTGGTATCAGACAATAATAAGTCTGGTTACATTATCCAGCTACTACAGATTGGTAAGTATGACCCCAAAGGGAACCTAGTGAAACCTAGTGAAACCTTTAAAATCCTGCAACCAGTGCCACTACGAATAATAAATGTAAAATAACAAGTTCAAAATAATTTGCTATATAACAAATTATAATTAGTGAGGAGGTGCAATAAAAATGAGGCAGAGCACACATAACAAACAAATACTGATGAGACTCATTAAAATCCTCATATTGCCAGCCACATGCAATCAAAACAAGTTTTAGGGTATCTCTTTAAATTTCTGGCCCCACACCTTTGAGTAAACCCTCACTGATCAGTAAACCCTTACTGATACCAATGAATGCCAAAGCAGATAATGGAGCACATCCTGGATTCTCATTAATAATGGTAAGTCACAGATCCACTACTCACAAATACTGCTGAAATAAACATTTTTCGTTTTTGAAGCAACAGAGCCCTTGAAGTTCAGAATGATCAATACTCCAAGCCTGATCAACACACCCACAGACTGGTGCAGATTTGCTCCACTATCCAACTCATCAAAACAAGTGGAGTGAAACAGCACTTGCCTGGGCTTTGGTATTTTCTATTCCTCCTTTCATATTATGTAGAACTATGTTCCAAGTTTCTTGAGGTAAAGAACTACTCAAACCCACCTTTTATTCAGCATTCTTCCTACTCCTATGAAGAAAGACCAGCTTTTCCTCCATTATAGATAACTTACAATAAATTAAAAAAAACAAAAGACAATAACCTGACTAAAATACTGCAGAAAACAAAAGCATTGATGAGATTTATAGGAGGAAATACTGACCATGATCTACCTTGGTCCAGGCTTCTGCAGTGCTTTCTCGTGTGGGACACCAGGTATGAAGTTTAACAACAGGACTTGGTAGTTCAACCTGAAGCAAAAATAATGTTAAGCAGCTCAGTATCAGATGTATCAATTCCTATTTTTTTGTTTTCATTCACAAGATCATATCTAGTCCTTTCTGAAATATTTTATTCTTATTTAAATACTATTTAGAACTATTTAAACAACACTTTGTTCATATTACGTGTATTATTAGCATTACTGTGCATAAACAAAAAGTGCTAGAAAAGTCTAGAAAACACTGAATATCATCTTGTTCAAAGAAAAAAAATGCAGTTTCTCCTTCATCTATAATGTCTGCAGTATTTTTAAACAATTCTCAGTATCTCATAACTATTCCAAACAGTCCAGATCGTATCAAAAGAGATCTGAATCTCTTCCTAATTAAAAAGTTACATTTAACATAATCTAATTTTAATCTTCATGTACACAAAATCTCCAGGCCAAAAGAGTCCTCAGCAGTAAAGATGCCCTAAAAGGAGCATTCTCAATCTAGAAAGGCCATGACAGACAGGATATGGTACATTAGTAGACAAGCTTCTCCCTTATTTATACAAACATAACTAAGCAATCAAAATCAATAATCAGCATTTAAAGATGCTGTAATTAAACTGTGAACTTCACCTATAGATCAAAAACCAGAAGAATTGATTAAAAGGAGTTAAAAAAAAATATCTGAGAGAGATAAACAGTAGGTTGATGAATGATTAATGGCTTATTAAGGCTAATGGAATTTCTCAAAGGTACCTATACGTAAAAAAACCCCTTGGAAAATAATTCTAAAATTTTATATTATTGATTCATTTGTATATAACTAGAAAAAAAATTAAATAAAGTGAGAAGCAAACTAATTAAACATTAAATTCTCTCAATGGCTGTGACACGTGTCCAGAATTGTAAACATCATAATGTCATAGCACAAAATCAGAACAATCTCATTTCTGCCCCTACATATTCAAAGTAACTTTCTAAAAATAAAGGATTGTTGTAATCATAAGAAAAATTTAGAAAAATAAAATCTGAGAATATGATCCTCCATGAGGCTGGGAAATCTGTCCCCCTTGTATTAAAGCTTAACTTAAACACAGTTTCTTTAAATAAGTACCTAATTTCAGAACAATTTTTCACGTACAGTTAGAAAAAGTCCTTATGCGGGCGCTAAAGTCAGGTTGGTTATGAACTCTAAGTCAAAGTGTTAGAGATGTAGCTCTGAGCAAAGGAAGTGTTTCAAAGATCATAGAATGCCAACATAAAAAAAAGTTGAAAGAGAGGAAGTGTAAGTGTTCATAATGTGACTAGACACTCTTTCTTTGAAGTCTTATTCAGGAATTTTTAATACTAATATCAATTACTTCCAAGCTGAATTTATACACCTATTATCCTGTCTAGTGCGCTGGAAGAAAAGAAATGGGGCCTCAGAGAATTTAACCAAGATATTCATGAAAGAATTTGATCTTTGTCTGTTACTAACGCAGATAAAAGAAATTTTATTTTAGTTAATTTTACATTTAAAGCACTATGTGACAGACTGTTGAGGAGAGAAAAATTATTCATCTAAACTAAAAGCTGAATGAATTTTTGGAGCAGTATTTAGTGAAAGAACAATATTTGATCTGAGCTTAAGCTGGAAGCACTTTGGAGAGAATACAAACCCGTCTAACTACAAATGGAGGTTTATCAGTTTCTCTTCTGAATTCATAAGGACCAAGGTTTAAATGGGCCAGTCGTTGCCTGGCTTCTTCTGATAGCTCACACATTCGTCTTTTTGTGTATGGAGATGGAGAACGGGATTTAGAAGCTATTGTAGGTTGCTCGTAGTTCTTTGTTGCTAAGTTGTGCCTGCTCTTCTCAGGTGAATGAGTATTTTTCTTTGGTAACTTTGTTTGCAGTTTTCCATTTGGGGTTGAGTGGTGTGCACAATTCAAATCACCCTAAAGTGAAAAAGAGAAATTATCTGGTTTGACAGCACGCAGAACAAAGATCACTGAAAATAATGCACACAGGGAACTAATTTAAGATTTAACAGAAATAGATGCCATGTCAAATGAAGTTCCCCTAACAAAACTATAATCAAACTGCAATTTAAAAAACAACAATGTATTTACCATTTTCTCTGAAACCAAAAGGAGGTTAAAACACACATTACTGCATGTTAGATGTTAAGTGTCTGATACTTACCCAATCAGCTTTCTCACACAGTTAAGTGTACAGAGACTGTAAAAAATTAAATTGGATTTTGTCACAAGTTCATTTAACACAAACTTTACCTGGATTGGACATACACAGATTTGAAGCATTTTTTCATCTATTTAAACATTTTTTTAACCTTTTAAAAGTCTTACCCTTTAAAATAAAATACATAAAACAGCAGCCTACTAAATAGTTTAAATTATATGCACTTAGAGTTGCCTAAAGCTTCATAAGAAGTGTAATTATATTATCTGAAATTTATATTTTCTTGGATCATGGTGAATTTACTAGTTCTTTAGAGTTATAATCAAGAAGCTACGTTTAGGAAAAAAACCTCCCCCCCCCAAAAAGAAAACCCAAAAAACTTTTAAAACCATCTTCCAAAGATCCTGTCAAATCACATGAATACTTTTGCAAACGAGGCCAAGCAGCTGTTCATCTGTGCAACTGGCACTAGACATCCAATATATGCATTTTGTAACTAAAATTTATAAAAATCCCACCATTAACAAACATTGCCTTAAAAGCCTATCTCTGAGTAGATACTACTTTCAAAGTACCTTCATACAACAGAATAAAGGTAAGTAGAGGAACAACCAACCTCAGCACCTCCCTTCCCACAACACAGGATGGGGGTGGTGCTGTTACAGTTTTTGTTGCTGTTACCAACAAAGCCTACCTAACAATCAGGACTGACACCCACTCCGAGTAACCCCTAACTTCTTCAGTCACCAATTTCATATCCTGGGAAACCGTTTCCAACACTGAAGTTTTGTTTGAAATACATTATCATTCCTTTGTAATTCCTGGCATTAAATGAGCATTCTATTACTCTACAAGCTTTATAGGTCAAGGCACTCTAGATTATACAACTCTTATCAGGCTACTTAGTGAGCAGGATGTTTGAACTTTGAATACCTCAATATGGATAATTTGGTTTTCTGGTCAAATATGGCCCAAATTCACAGGCTATAAAAGATAAAAAATCATGGTATAGCAAGACTTTTCTTCCTATTAGAAATTATTTTTCAAACATGAGGAAGTTGACGTTAGTCTTAAATCTGAATGTCACATGCACTACTTCAGAAGAACTCAGAAACACACTGACCAGCTTGCCTTCAAGCCTTCTCCTCTACACCCAACAATGAAAGAGGCTGAGGTTGTGTGTTTGTTTTGCATCACCATAGTTTCAATCTGGCATCACACAGACTATTCATGACACTTTATTACACCTGTACTAGCACTTTTGCAACTGGTAATAAACCAGAGTATGGAATTGGCCCAAACAAAACCAGACCCATTCTGTAAGATTAATTTCAATTTCACCAGAAGTAGGCTGTGCTGCTTCTGACCTCCACCAGTCATGAAAACAGACTTTCACTGCAACACATGCTATCTGACATGCCTTTCAACACATATTAAATACTTTTAAGGACATTTAAAATTTTAAATCAAACTGCCCTTATTGAAGTCGCCTTCAGTGAAGTTAGTGTTCTGACAATGACAATTTTCACTGATTAAAAAAAAAAAATAATTCTTTATCTAAGTGTCTCTGTACATTTCATTTGCTAAATTTGGAAGAAACTTCCCAGTGAACTAATTAGCAACACCATAAACAGGTCAGAGTCAACTAACCCTCTCTGCAGGCAAACCTTCCTGACAACCATTTCTTTGTAATGATATTGCACCATTTTTCAATAATATAGCAAAAAGGAGGATATAAGAGTAACTTTATATGACAGCTTGTGCTAGGAAACCCAATCAAAATTCCAGTGAGACCAGAGACGAGTGCTATCAAATGAACACACACATTAGAGAGGGATTTTTTTTTTCCCCCAGTCTCTTCAGCTACTTGTACTTTAACATTGCTCATTGCAGAAGCAGCATTTCCAGATTAATACAGACAGCCTTTTTAACAAAAATCTTAATTTCCATTACTGTTCCTGATATTGTTATGGAAAACAATTAAATTAATTGGTTTGTTTTTGATAATGTACCTTCTCTGACTTCACCTAGCTTTCATTGTCCTTAATTTTAAGTGTCAGTAAGAAATGGTGAGAAGGCATCTTCCCACCTACAAATACACCAGGGATTGACACTTCAGCTGATCATAGAACACAGCAGCTGATAATTGTTTCAGATTCAAGGAACTCTCAGCCTTTACTGTCATGCACCAAACCCACTCTTTACTCATACTTGATTAAAAATTTAATCAAGTTGTCAAGCACCCATGATAACTGCTTTAACCACAACAAAAGAATGAGAAAAGTTTGAAGTGAGCAGCACATGCAAAAATTGGAACCAAGGCTATCAATATTAAATCTAGAAATTAAATTGCAAACAATTAAATTATGCTAACCTGTATGTGACTCCTTCCTGAGCTTAACAGACTTTCTGTAATAAGTGAGCTTGTAGAAAATCTCAATTTTGGTGCAATTCCCTAGAAGAGAGACAATAATTGAACATCAAGCTCCAACTCGAGATAAAGGGAATCAAAGAAGTAAATGTCACCTAATGTAACAAACCATTCCTAATTTTCAGCCATCTCCTTTGTTAATTTCAGCCTTTAATAAAGATAATTAGAAAAGACAGAACAGCAATGGTAAATGTCAAGATGCTAACATTTGCATTTCTGACAATTCAATTACAGATGATTATATTGCTTTTGTACAACAATTAAGGTCTGACTTTTATTTCAATACATTTCTTTGTCAAAAGCACTTTTAAAGATTTTTCATGCCATGCTATATAGCATCAATAATATTTCCAGTCATGCTCTGGAAGTTTCATTAATGCTAACTTTGGAAACTTATGTATATATAGTCTCAATTGTGCAATCTTTTTTGTAAAAACATTTTGAAAATCAGTCAATTACACTGCAAATAACTATTCGTTTGTAACAGTATGATTAAGAATACCCTTTAATTCTGTAACCATTAGAAAAGTCTGATTTCTGTGAGTTGTCTCCCACGTTCTATAACCATGTTCCACTTTCTCAATCCTCTCTTACACATGTGGCTGACAAGAGGCAGCCCTTGACAGACCAATTTGGACTCAGTGGGGTCCAGCTGGGCCTCCCAGTCAACCAGTACACATGCACTAACGGCCAGCAGGTCCCTCCATCTCTACATGGGAAACACTCTCTGTTCAACTCACCTTCTTTTACTGCAGTCATGTGTAGAAACAAATTCCTCTGAAAGCTCTATTTCCTGTTAAATTTAGTTAGAATTGGCCAATGTATACGAAATTTACTGGGTGTAAATGGCAGAGATGATGACAGACAAGTGTTATTTCCCAAAACAGCAACATTTAAAAAGGCATAAAAGAACTAAAGGCCATATATGCTATAAACAAGTGGGAATCATCTATGTGCATCTTATACAGCTCTGCAGAAGCAAAGAGAGAGTCAAGTGTCCCTAGAACTTTCTACCCCCACTTCTTTCAACACAGACAGAGTTTGCTGCCCCAAGGCATCTGTGTGCATGGGCATTTGTGCGCATGAACACACAAAGTCACAGAGAAACAAAAAGAGCTGGTCTGTTTGCAACTCTGCCCCACATTCTTAAAAATCAGAAGGAACTTCATGAGTGAAGTCTACTCCTGAACCAAACGATTCTCTACCACCTGCCTAAACACAAAGTGATTTCCCATAAGGGAATACGATCTGGGCCCAGGTTATATTATGGAAATGAAATTACAAAAATGCCAAGAAAGCTCAGTCATAGCAATTAACAGAGTCCAGGATTCAATCAAGTCAAGTTACGGCATATAAAAGAGATTTTAAAGCTGACCATCTTTAATCAACTAATTTTTATTACTAATGAATTGTCAAGTGCTATCAACAATTTAAAAAAGGACACATCAGAATTAGTAAGTCTTCTATAAAAAGCAACAACAGAACATCTACTGCTCTTACAGAGACTGAGAACGATTACAGACTTGTTAAATGCTCATAGCTAAAAAAATCACAGAAAACCATGGTTTCTTCAGAAAAATGGTTTGTGGAGAGGGAACACTGGATCACAATTGCACACATAGGCATGGATATGTCAAAAGTAACTTACAGGCCAAAAGCAATCAGAAGAGTTCTGCAGTTCTCAAACTAGGGATTGCTGAAGGATATTCAATACAGTATTACATAAAGACTGGTACGTAGGCCCAAACATGTCTGTAAATGAAAATCCAGCCAGAAAGTTTTTGGGAATCTATTCTTCTGCCTCCAGCCTAGGGGTGTCTGCAGCCCTGAGCAGGCTTTGCAGTCCTTCTGTACCAGTCATTAAAGAGAAGTGACAGGGACATAACACTAATTTGATCACAGAAAAACTGTAAAGGTGGTTCATATTTAGAAGAACAAAAGTTAGAAAACAAGTCTAATGTACTTTTGACTGTAAGAAGCATGAGTACAAGTCTGTAGCTTAAAAAAAGTATATATGAATATAACAAGGTCAGGTATTGGTATGCTAATGAAAGCGTAAGAAACTGTTTTAAGTTACATGGCAAATACTGCATGAGGGTGGAGAATGGAGATAAGAAAGTCTGTAAGAAGTCACCACCAGTCAAGGCTTAAACATATTCTGAAAAGCAAGGGTTGCAGAGAAATACAGAAGAGCCGGCAAAAGCCTCAGCTGGGCAACACTGGACCAGGAGAGATAACCTGAGGCACGTCTTGTATGCTTATTGTGTCTGTAAGCTTCATAAGACATTTAGCCAGAGACATTATCAGCCAAGTGCCAGATTTCTGGAGGAGTTCTGATCCTCTCAACTTGGGATTCCTTCCAACTGGCAGATTAGCAGTGTTAATCAGACACTGCTTGTCACTGCCTATCTGAACTCCACAACCGCAACCTTGCTGTTGCTACCTTTATTTTTTTAATAAAGGACAAATTTATTTGGAATCAAAGTGTCACTGAACACAGCTGTCAGTCAAAAATACTCAACATCTCAGCCAGCTATAAATAACTTCTCATGTGGGAAGAACATGGCTTGACTAGCATAGGAATAATGTGAGCGTTCTCACGACCTTGTTTAACACTTTCACTTTTGCTTAGCATTCACATTCTGTACTTGGTGCTGACAGAGTTAGAAGGAGATACTTGCCAGTAAAGCTTAGGGAAGACTAGAAGATGGAGGCATTTGAGACTGCATTTCTACTGGAGGTAAAAAACCTCTCAAGGCTACTGTGTGTGGCAAGCAAGGAGAGGCACCCCAAGTTCTTTTGGGGAGCCTCCCTCCAATTCCATCAAATACAGCTTCTTTATTATTCCTGAAAACAGGGTCAGTACACCAAAATCCTTTCTTAAAACTGCTCTTTCTGTGATGGAGATGGAACAGCAACAGATGCTTCTGCAGTCCTCATTCCAGGGCAGAGATGGATTTCATTTACACTGCTCCCAAGGACATGGAAGTACATTTCTGTCTTGCATCAGTCAACTTTTTAAAGCTACTACAGTATCATCATTCAGCTACACATCCAAATGACTGATCATATCTTCTCACAGCTCACAAATTATGGCACCTTCTCTTTATTAGAAAAAACATAATTTTTGTATTTAAGAACTCAGACCAACAAAAAACCTCAAACTTCTACAGTGGTTCTGCTTCTACAAAGATTTATTATATTGCATTTACAAAAAATTTGAAACCATTTTGCTAATACCACCTCATTTATTACTACCTCCCTATCTATTCTTTCTCAACACCAGGAAAGTACCAATTCTGTAAGTAATATGAAAGCAATACAGTCCCACCCCCTCTCTTGAGCCATCACTAACATGCATAGGAGAAGCCCTATCAAAGAGATGTTACGGCCAAAAAAAAATGGCTATTTTTGCAGGGACAGTTTAAGCTGTTGCAGAACCATACATTTTGTATCATAAAATTTAATTCATTCAAATGTAACACAGCATTAGACACCAAATTAACACTTTTAATTGAAAGGGACTGGGCAATTTCCAGGTTGCCCTCGCAGAGGAAAGATTATACCAGCTAAAAGACACCAATGACTTTCAATCAGCATTCCCTTCCTGCCATGTGTTTTTAATCCAATCACAATGGACAGGGCAACTAAGTGCCTATCTTCCCAATCCAAATATTCTGCCAATGCACCAGTAAACTTAACCAAAATAAGACAAACAAAACAAACCCCAAAACCCACATCATCACCACCATCTTCAAAGTGCCCTCATGAGTTATTCCACTGACACCTAAGATTCAACAGTCAAACTCTATGAAAGGGTAGTGCGAGATAAATTCATTTTCACTTACTATGTACTTGAGCCCTTATCTCCAGAAAATTAACATTAATACATTTCACTCATTCTGCCAATTAGTTGTCATTTATCATGGCTTTTTTGAAAGTGTAGAAAAGACAAGTTACTAAATGAGTGTGAATGGCCTGAGCAGACCTTAAGAAACAGGCTTTGGAACTGAAAAACAATCATGCAGCACTAAGTTTAAGTTCAGTTATGTAATATTTTAGTGGTGATCTTGCACCTCAGGGAGGCCCACAGGTCAGATGGCATAGCACCAGAAATTTGTACTGATTGGCATTATCCTGAACAGCACCTAAAATGGTCTGAAACGAAATGCTACAGAGAGAAACTGAGGAGGAGGGTTACACAGTTTATCTGTTGAGAACCATGAAGTTGATATGACATCTCCCTCTTCTCTTGCATCCCTTCAACTACCACCTGCACCACAGATTAAACTGAATGGAAGACATGTCGTGGTGACACACTGCAAACCAAGTGGAAACTAACTTTTTCACAGTAAATAATTTCTCAAAGCATTTTGAAAAAAAGATTATACCTTCAGCAAAGTTCAACTCTGGATTTGTACATTCAACACCTGAAATGGCAAAATCTGTCAGAAGTAATCACTTTTCATTTGAAGTAGTTCAAGGGGTTTCTTCAGTGAAACACACTGTATCATAAATACAATCCACAGATATTCACTCACTGTAAAAGAAGAGGACCTCTTCATTAAAATCTCACGATCTAAACCTTGGTGCCCACGCGTAAGCTTAGGGTCAGGGAACAGGAAATCTCTTGTATTTTCTTTATATGTAGCTAGAATTTTTCCTGCTAAAAAGAAAATACATACTTTAATTGGAAAATAGACAAAGCTATATAGTACAGACACCACACACAAGACCATATTGAAACTAAGATAAATTCTGTTCTTTAGAAATTAACAGCACGGCTCTAAAATTCCTATCACACTAGGAAATAACCTCATCAAGTGAAATCAGCAGCAGAAATGTGCAGAATCTACTCTGAAAGTATGTTTCAGTGTTAGTGTAAAAAAAAAATAAAGGAGACTGTGTTAACTGTTCTGTAAGAGACTTCTCTAGACAATTCTTCCATAGTTTTCCTCATTCTTTCCCTCCCATGACACAGAAGAAAACACTATTTTTTTCAAATGCCAGACAATCCCTTATGAAAAACTGTATCATTCCATATAACCAAATAGTAATAGTAGGCATAGCAGTAAGAAAGAAATGCAAGCAACATCAAAATCATTACCTTGAGATTTTCTCACTATCTTGGTTTGCTACTTTTTTTTAAAAAAGGGTTTTTTTTAGGGGAAAACCTTGAATGTATATTACAAAAAAAATTTAAATTGTGCTATTGCAGTCATCTTGTCATCGTATGTTGGGCTGTATGACACCTATCTCTGACCCCTGAAATGAAATCCCTTATACAAGATCTCTTACTCTCCCACAATAAAAATCCACATTCAGTATATTTCTGCAAGTAAACAGTCTGGTGAGTCACCTGAGAGAAGCAATAGTTTCCTTGAAAGTATTAAGGACAAGTGACAGAGAGCGCTTTTAATACCACAGTTTCCAAATGAGTCCTCTTTAAAACTTGACTTTATTTCCAATAAAATGCAGATTTACATTATTCATGGGAACACTTGAATTTCATTAAAATAGATTTTTATAATCACACAAACCAATAACAGAAGTATGACAAATCGCTATTTATTATCTTCACATATCCCAAGAGACCTGTAATACTTATAGTGAGGATAAGAGTTTTCCCAGTGGTCACCATTAAAATGGAAGGAAAAAAAGTGTCATTCTGAGAACAAGATTATGCACTCTGAAATTTCACAGACAGCCACTTTGCAAGTGAATTGTGATGCAGTTAATAAGCGTGCACTGGATGATTTCAGTTTATTTTCCATTTTTAAAATATTATCACTTTCCTAAGCCTGAGTATGGTACATTTCAATATTCGGTTATTATTCTCTTTCAAGAATGAGATCCTCTTGATCTATTAACATTTTATATTCAGAGGACTATTTGTTGAAGAGCTTTCTATGTTGTTTGTGTGTTGGAAAAAGTGATTGTGCTGTAATGGGCAATGTCCTCATAGAAATTCACCTATTAAACTGCATAATTTATGAAGAGACTGATACAATACCTGGAGGAACGAGCTGTATTAGTTCAAGCACTGCTGTGTCAACTAGAAAGGAAAAAAGTTTTTTCATGAGTTTAAAAAAAAATAAAAAGGAAAGTAATTCTTGTAAGTCAAAACCCAAGAAAAACAGCTCACAGATTTAAGCTTCATAGCACTGTACATAGCTGCACTATTTCCACTACACCAACAATAAGAGAAAATTAAGAACAGCTTGCATAAATACCACAGATGAACACAATGGCATTAGCAGTGTACAAATGACAACTCTAAATTTGACTTTGAACTTGGTGAGTTCTCTCTGCTGCCAAGTTTGTCCTTCTTTAAAAGAAGACGATGCAAGCTTCGCCACTTTTTCAGACAAATCCCAGTATGAGGGAGCATATTCTTGGAGTTTGAGGTCAGAGTCAGTGTTGTCTCACTACAATTCATTATGCTCCACATATGGCATGATACACAATTTTCTTTAAAAATGAAAAGAATAATTTTACAAAAATCAAAAGTTTATGCTTATATTATTGAAAACTAAATTAATCAAACAAATGATCTGATAAAGGAATCTATCTGAATAACGAGCCGGATTTTCCACGAATTACGAATTTTTACCATTTTCCTGCTCTAAAGCACGTAGCATACATTTCTACAGTCATTTTGTTAGATAACAATATTTTGGGTAAGTTACTGGTAACCAAAGACAGAAAAAAACTTTTGCTTGCACTGACAATGTATCTTCTGTTCCTAAAGCCCACCAGTGTTAGGGTACTACTTATTTAGTACATGATGTACTACATTGGTTACCCACTAGCTTTTCAGAGAACAGGCTCCTGACAGAAACATTATCACATACTTTAAACCTCCAAAAAGGCTTCAGAGCCCATACATGTGTGACATTAATGCATACAGCATAGTTTACATAAAAAACAGAACCTACGTTCCAGTAACTCCACAAGGTCTCCAGGATCAACAATATCAGCAAATGCCTGGAAAAGAAATTAATAAATAATCATAATGGCATAGTTGAAGTCATCAGATGGACCTCTGGAGAAAGAGAAGGGGAAAAAAAAAAAGAAAAATGCTCCCTTGCTTCAGCTGGTTGCCAAGAGTCCTGTCCCCACTGGAAGAAGAAAGGAAACTGAAATTATCATTTAGCACACGATCACATTCATTGAAAGCTGGAAGTTCTTGTCATCTGCTTTCTAGCCATTCAGATTACCTCTCCATATTTAAATTAGGAGGTACTGTGAAGAGTTGAACACATAGAGGTAAGTATTGTCTGAGAAAATTTCAAGAAAGATAAATTGCTCAATTTACTAGAATTCTGATAGATGAAGAATGTGACTATGCACGTACAGAGTACTGTTCAGGGGGGTTTTTAACCCGAATCCCATGTGAATAGATAGCAAGGAACAGGGGAGGGTGTTGCACTAGATATTCAGCAGGTAACAGACTTCCTGCTAATTCTGTACAAAAGTCTCAGCAGAGTGGTGTAGATTACTTTGCTGTTCAAGGTACTGTTCAAACACTAAAAATCAACATGTACTGATGCTTCACAAGTATCTAGACCTATTCAACAGCTATTTGTAAGAAGACTATTATTCTCAGCTTTCTTGTTCACCTCTTCTCTAAGCAGATAGACCCTTGTATCTCAGAGTTCCCCTAAATTACAATGAAAACAGCATTCAGTACATTTCCCTTAAGTAGTTTGTGGTATGTTTGCCTTGAAAGAATTATGGTCTTTTTTTACTTTTCAGTAGCTGGTGAAATTATCACTGTTTGTATCTTACACACATCACAAGAGCATCACTGATGTTTACTCAGTCTGGTTTTCAAAGTGCTGGGGAATGCTTAAAGGAAGATAACTAGAAAGGGCAAAGTATTATTATTCATAGGTAGTCAGGAAGCCCGATCATATCTGTAAGATAGTGTGTTTCATTATCCCTGTGGTACTAATAATGACGCTAGCAGGGACTCAGAATATGTGATAAACAACTGTAAATTATAAGGCCAGAGTGCCAACCCGGGAATTCTGGTGACAGACCATGAAAAAAGTATCTCAAAGGGAGAAAGATGTCACCAAAAAAGGCTTGAGCTGCTGTTCTATCTTTCTACTAAATTAAGTTGACTCTTCTATATTGTATAGTCTTTGTTCTTCACCTTGCCGTAATTTTTAGAAAAACATTCAGTTCCTTCCAAGCCAGGAAAACAGACACTGAAAAAGGACAGTTCACAGAAGAATGAGCAAACGCCTAAAAAGTCTCATCATACTTTATAATCTTCAGTATGTATAATTACTGCCTGATGGTGTGGATAATACAGGCACACACCTCCTTTGTGCTGAAGAGAAGCAAGAGTTACAATACTGTGCCATTCTCAATGTGATTACTTGTGCTCAGGGGCTTTGCGATGAGTTTTTGTGGAGTTTGGGATGGGTTTTATTTGGCTTGTATTAGCTCTTGACATTATCTTACCTTTTCAAATACTAGTTTTTCTTGAAAGAAGAGTGGAAATGTTGCAGGGACGCATTGAGTTTTTTTGTACTGTCCAAGTACAGAGACACTGAGATAAAGTTCCGCTTTGTCTTTCAGCAGCACTCCAGGGCAAGTTATCTGTAAGAGTAACACATTCATTAAACAAACTGAACTGTTACAGAAGTAACAGCTGTTTTAAAGATAAAAATTAAACGGTCAAGGCTGAACTGGTTGATTTCTGAGAGTCAGATTATAACAGATGAGAGTGAAAAAATTCTTTTCTAAAGCAGTTTGCACTGACTGACCAGGAAAAACAGTCACCATTTTAAAACAATGAGGACCAAATTCTTCTTACTGCAAGTAAATATATTCCATTGTCTTCAACCAAAACTGAAACCTGGCATTCCAATCCCAGGTTAATATAGTTAAAGACATGCACTTGGTTAATCACCAAGGGTCAAAGCAGGTTCTATATGAACAGTCATGTAGAAGTCTGTGTGATGCCAAGACACAAAAACTTGTCTACATTTTAGCCTAGCTACAGAGAGAATGAAGCTGGTAAATGTTAATGCTTAGATATCCATACTCTGTCCAGCCATCAAAAAAAAATCAAGTTTATTTGCAAATACTATATTAACTTTGCCTTCTAATATGTAAATAAGAAAAAGCAACTGCTGTTCCGTTACTATCAGACACATGGTACACCAAGTTTTATCTGAGAAGTCTGGCCACCTTGGAGGGTATATTCAAGGCAGGGAAGCCAGATACTGCCACTAATCTCTCAACTTTCTCTGGACAATTCTTAAAGTAAGAAGACATTGTTATGTTTTCAAAGCTCTGATGAACATTAGACTTTCTTACTTGTGTTTTCACTGCAAGGGTGTACACAACTCATTGCAAAAGTATTTGCTGTTTTCTCTAAGTCATGTGGTTTTATTCTATTACCCAGCCAGAGAATTGTCACCTTTCACTTCAGTTCTACTGCTCACTTTTTATCGCACTATAATAAATATGAGGTTGTCTCTTCCAACATAAGGTTGCTGGAAAAAGTGTTCAGACTTTCAATTGCCAGGTAAAAAGACAAAGGAGGAGAGTGACAGGAATGAAAATAAGTGCTTTGGTTACAGTCTCCTACTCCCAAATGAACATTTTACTTGAAAAATCCTAACTGGATTAAAAAATATATATATAAAACCAGCAGAAAAACAGCCTCAGGTGAAAGAAATAAGAGGAACCAATGTGTAATAGATTATTATAGATACAGTATAAGCTAAAAAAGTAGTGTTTCTATTCATAAATATCCGAGAAGGAAAAAAAAAGGATCTCCTCTCCATGTAAATGAGGGCTTCAAATCTGCAAGAAAAGTGCCAGAATAATAGATATCCCAACTGAAACAGACTGTCAAGCATTAAACAGCTTGTATGACACTCATGCAGTTGCAAGTGTGAATAGGAGTGAAAGAGACAGATTTCATGCATACAAGGCAAGATCCCCCAAACTACATACTACAAGTCACATTAGCTTAGTTCTCGCTTTTCTTCTTGACATTTTTGTAGAATTTACAATCATTTTTAGCTGGGGTTTCATGCCTTTCACCTTAGAGAAGACAACCAATAATTGCCTATTTATTGAGATGAAAAGTGAGAAGTTTGAAGACACTGGAGAGGGCAAAAAGGCAAACAACAGGTGTCATTTATTCTGGCTATCCTGCAAAAGAAAACAGTCTTCCAAATCGGCTTGTGGAGGGCAAGATAGTACATGTGGAAACTTGTGCTTCAATTACCCTTGAGATAAACTGCACAATTCCAGCCTGGGGCTAGAACACCAAATCTACATGTTCATGTAACTTTAAACCAGCTCCAGAAATTAATGACACGTGTATATCTGCAGTTCATTAAATCTATTTTGTAATGTGTGATGCATGGAGCTGCATAACACTTAGGAGACAAATTAAAGCTTGTATCTAAACTGTTCAGGCTGGATGAGGGACCATTTCAAAAACTGTATTATCTACAGATCAGCTAAGGAAGGGGGATATCAATGCTGCAATTAGCTGATCTTACAACCAAACAGGAGGACTATGTATGTCTCCGTGTTAGCCTGGATTTCTCTCCTGCAGTTCCCAGGAGGATGGAAAACATGTACCAGCCCTATTGTTGGGACATCACAAACAGCCATAAAGAAATCACTGAATTCATCTCATGGAAAGGAATAGAATTCTACTGATCCACCACCCCCTATGGCATTTGTTTGTTATGAAATCACTGAATTCATGTCATGGAAAGGAATAGAATTCTACTGATCCACCACCCCCTATGGCATTTGTTTGTTACGTGCAATTCTGAAACTGTAGGTGCATATATAAGCAATGAAAAAGGCAGGCCTCAAAAAATCCCTTTAATTGCCCATTACCATCAAAACAAGAACAGTTCCCTATGAAGGGCAACAGCCAGTATTAACTTCTGATGAGTGCAAGCTTCCAGATAGAGTAGCATTTCGGACTTAAGAGTTGCACAAATAATCTTCTCAACGCAAAGAGAAGCCATTTTAGTCTCCTTACCTGGCAGTAATCCACAATGCTATTAATTCATCTTAGTGCTTAAAGCTTTACCTACCTTCACTGCCGCATTTGTGAATTCTCCATGTAGCAATGACATGAAGAATAATGTGAATTTCATTCTGTTGCTACATGAGCAATGTAAATGCCAGCAGCAGAGGTAGGCACCAAAATTAGTCTCAAAAAACCCCAAGTAACAATGAAATCTCAGTCTGAGCAATCATGAATTATTCAGTTTCAATTAATGGCAGGATAAACCAAATAAGGTCTTTAACTAAGGTTTTCCATTTTAGAAGAACAGCCTTTCAGAAATGAAAACTGGCAGTGAGATAAACCAAAGAGGTGTGGACTAAGATCAGAAAAGATCTTGAAATTTCATTATGTCAAAAGGAACAAAACCCATCTGTATCCTAAAGTGAGGGAAAACCAAAGAGGACAGAACTTCTGACACAAGTGTACTGGTTTCAAAGAGAGTTGAGAAATACACAAAGCATTTAAAAAAAAAAAAAAAAAAAAGGGAAAAGGAATCAGAAACTTGCAAAAGGCTTTAGTCACAAATAAAGGAGAAATCAAGTGGACGTAGTAGAAATCAACCAAGATGTGAAAACTAACAAATCTATGGCCCAAACACAACTGAATATTTTGCCTTGGTTTTAATGATACTTAATACAGGAGCAACAAAACAACTTAAAGAATGAAATGACAGAAACAGAAGTTACCCAATACACACTAGGACTGCACCAAGGAGCCACAGGGAGGCTGAATCATATTCAGCCCAGGTTTTGAAAGAATGTAATTTCTCTTGCTGGATCTATACATAACTAAAACCTGTGTTATGAAGACAATGATAGTATCAACTGCTGAAAAATAACAAACGCAAGGCGCATGTGAAGCAGAAAAAGATATGTGAAAAATTATAACCCCATCAATCAGAATATTTAAATACGCAAAAGAATAAAAATATGGAAGAAACCATGACTAAGAAAAAAGCCCAGCAGTGCATGTTTCATAAAAATAGATCAGTCAAGCAAAACCCGACATTTTCTTGAAAGCTTATTTTCTGGACAGAGGATATCACATGGTGCCACATGAGGAATTTTTACTTATGATGCAGAAGATGGGAATTAGTGTGAAAGTCCTAAGGTGATACAGAACTGGTCAAAGGACAGCATCAATAACTTGCAAAACTGGGAGGCATCAAGGTCAGGGTTACTATTAAAAACATTCCTCTATATATCCTGGGATCCATGCCTTTTAATATTTTTAATGACCCTGACACAAGAAGTCAGAGTGTTCTCATGAAATTTTTCCAATTAAAATTCTGAAATCATCAGAGGTCAACAAAAAGATACAGAAAAACCTGTTTGTGGGACCACAGTAATAGAGATGAGATGCACCTACTGTGTATTAATAGTTTTTGCTTTCACTGGGGGGGCTGACCTTCAAAGCTGGCTGAGGGGAAGATGATGAGTGTGTTAATAAATGACAGCATAACTGCGGTGCAGCTGTGAAAAGACTAATATTAAGACATATAGGATGAATGTTGGACGTTTTCTCCCTGATGTCACCCAAGGCAAGAGTGAGACCCCGTCTCGAATGCTGAATTCAATTCTGATCCCAATTAATGCAAATTTAAAGTGGACAAGTAGCACTCCTCCCTAAGATGATCAGAAGACTGGTGAGTACATCACACAAAATACTACCAAAAGAACCAGGTTTCTTTAGATGACAATTTGTGAAATGACAGAACTGCTGCTCAAAAAATACATCAAGAGAGCAAACACCAAGGACAGAAAAGGTATTTAAGCAAAAGGCCAGTGTTGACGTTTGTGTAAGAGTAGTCAGGAGGAAGTTTAGGCTGGAAAGTTTTCAAATCATCACAGGAGTGAAATGCCGAGATAAGCTCCCGTCAGGAAAAAAAGGCAAAACAAATGGTTCAAAACCAGACTAAATAGACTTATTTGAAGGGTTATGTGAAAGAAATTATATAGCATAGCAGGGATATAACTGAACGACCAACATGTGCTGAAAGGGGCACTCAGATCTGTGTTGTACATTTTCTGTTCTGTCCCTTCCTACCATTATTTTTAGCCTTGAGAGCAGGGTGAATAACAACTGCCCCACGACTGAAGATGCCTGATCCTGGGGGAACACCTTCCCTGTACTCTCTCCTGGCACATGAATAGCTCACAGCCGTAGAATAAGAAAAGGAAAGCATATCTGCTCCTTTCCAGGAACCAAGTGGGCCTTTGCACTGTGAAGATGAACGCTAGCTGTTGAGACAGCAGAGCAAAACCATTAGGGCGATACCCTCACCATCTATGTGTAGAAATTCACAGCTCTACTTTAGAGCAGCTACACAAGTTTGGGAACAGAGGTGATAAGCAACCAGGAACACCAGTATATGCTTTCTGGATCTGCACTTGACTTTTCTGGATGGCACCTCAGGTTTTCCTTTCAAGCAGAAGCATTCTGGCAGCCCTTGCCCCATGAGAAGGCATAATCTCTCGATTACAGCAACTAGGGTGTGTGAAGCCAACCCCAGAGTAACAAAGCACTAAATACATCAACTATTTCTTACAAGTTATCAGAGAATGCTACAGATTCTTACTTTACTCCCACCTTGTATACAGGCAGAAAACTTTGCATAGTGCAGAAGGAACGGTCCTAACATGATTAATGTAAAAACTTTCCACTTTCACAGCTGTTCACCTCACTCCTCACCACGTAACACCCAGGTACTTCAGAGTGCCCAGTGCCACATCCTGCCCCTCACAGGGACCTCATCGCCCACAGGGGTGCATACTCCATGTACAAGCTGCTGTTTCCTGGGACTTCTTTTTTTCTATTTTTTCAAGAGTGTTTTTCCCACAACACAGAGCTTCCTAAGAATCAGTGTCTCTTAAAAAAAGTTTTTTCACGGGAGAGAACTGTGAAGGACCGCAGCTGCTGCTAACACCAACGGAGGGGCAGGGCGACCGGCTGCTGGAGGATGCACACACGGAAGGGGCAAAAGCCACCAGCAGCCAGTCCTGAGCTGCAGTTCCAGACTGAAGGCGGCCCCCACCGGCGACAGGGCCTGGACCAGCCTCCCAGAAGAAGCCCCGGGCCGGGAGAGCGAGGCGGCGGCCGAGAGGGGGAAGCAAGACGGGAAGCGGCGCCGGAAGAGCAAAACCGCGGCTTCTCCCCCAGCCTGCGGCCCGCCGCACCCCGGCTGAGGACGGCGAGGTCCGCGGCCCGGGCACTCACCGAGCGGACGTCCAGCTGCAGGACGCAGAGCAGCGCTTTCC